CAGGACTGGATAAAGATTTGTGATGGGGTTAACTCAGGACCGGATGAAAAGTATGGATGAGTTAACTTCGGGCTGGAGAAGATTTGCGATAGTTAACTCAGGTCTAGATGGAGAGTGAGGATGAGTTAACTCAGGACTGTGATAGTTTACTAGACTGGATGAAAAGTGGAGATGTGTTAACTCAAGACTGAATGAATAGCGGAGATGTGTTAACTCAAGACTGAATGAAGAGTGGAGATGTGTTAACTCAAGACTGAATGAAGAGTGGAGATGTGTTAACTCAAGACTGAATGAAGAGTGTAGATGTGTTAACTCAGGACTGGATGAAGAGTGGAGATGTGTTAACTCAGGAATGGATGAAGAGTGGAGATGTGTTAACTCAAGACTGAATGAAGAGTGGAGATGTGTTAACTCAGGGCTGAATGAAGAGTGGAGATGAGTTAACTCAGGACTGAATGAAGAGTGGAGATGTGTTAACTCAAAACTGAATGAAGAGTGGAGATGTGTTAACTCAAGACTGAATGAAGAGTGGAGATGTGTTAACTCAGGACTGAATGAAGAGTGGAGATGTGTTAACTCAGGACTGAATGAAGAGTGTAAATGAATTGATAAATGATTAGATAAATATTCTTCAGGTTATTTAAGACAATGTTCATCTCTGGAAACAAATAAACATACCTGGAATTATTGTATTATCGTTAGTTAATCATATTATTATTATTATTATTATATTATTCATTGAATTATTTATATTGTTCTATCTTGACTTGCATTATATTTTATCACTTTTACTATCCACAAATTAACAAAACAAATTTCAACCCTCCCTATAAACAAGGTAAAAATGTACAGCGCTGTGCAGCATCTGTTAAGACAGCTGTCACTTATATAAGTTGTTACATATGTTAATATTTAAACGTACCATAAATCTTCCAGTTCTAAATTTCAAAACCGGAAGTTACTCTGTGTAATTCAAACCTTCATACTCCTCTCTTGAACCCAATATATTTTAAACTTGGTCCAAACATACAATAAACTATCTAATACTCCTGAGAGTTATTTTACTTTTCTAGTCTGAACCTTGAGGTTTCTTTATCTTATTCTGACCTAAAACTGAGAGATCTTTATCTTATTCTGACCTAATTTTGAGAATTCTTCAGCTTATTCTGACCTAATTCTGAGGGATATTCATCTTATTCTGACCTAAACCTAAGAGATCTTTATGATATTCTATCCTGCACCTGAGAGTTCTTCATCTTACTCTTACCTAAACCTCAGAGATTTTAATCTTATTCTGACCTAAACCTGAGTCTTCTACGTTTCTGACCTAATTCTGAGAGATATTCATCTTATTCTGACCTAAACCTTTGGTTTTTTCATCTTATCCTGACCTAAACCTGAGAGTTCTTCTACGTTTCTGACCTAATTCTGAGAGATGTTCATCTTATTCTGACCTAAACCTTTGGTTTTTTCATCTTATTCTGACCTAAACCTGAGAGTTCTTCTACGTTTCTGACTTCAAACTGGAGGTTTTTAATTTATTCTCCTTTTCTTCTCCAAACTTGGACGGACCTCTCCGGTTCAATCTGATCCTAAACCTTCTTCTTCTCTTCTTAGCTAAATTTCAATGTAAACCTAAATATCCATCATACTGGAAACATAAACCGATTTCTCTAATATTAACCCTAAACCATGTTTTTCTCTCCCAAACGCTGGTGTATAAGATAAACATAGGTTTACTCTAAAGCTGCAACTTGTTTTAAGCTGATAAACTTCAAGGTTCAAGCTAAGTATGAAGTATGGAGTATGAAACTGCATATGGAGAAGAAACCTAACTAATGCAACAGAAGAAAAAGAGAACTAATCCTAACCTTACAAAGACTTCAAAGTCAAAAATTAAAACAATTTCGTGTCTGTTTCTTTTAGATATTTCAAAATCGTACAGATGATCATGTAAAAAACAAAAAACGGTGATTAAAATATAAAAGCAACCAAGTATAACTGAAAATTAAAGAAAAAAGCAGAGAAGAAAGTAAGAATTCAACAGAACGAGAGAGTCGTAGATATTTATGAGTTTTCTCTGTTGAATTTCACAATTCAAAGTTTTTGTATTGAATGGAAACGAATGAAAGGAATTGAGTTTTTGTCACAAACTTAAATTTTTAAATCCCTATATCTTTGGAACCTGATGGAATAAACCTTTGATATTTCAAACTTAGATTATTTGATCTAACAGTATACTTAGTTTGAAATAAATAAGGTCTAAGACATTGGGTTCCAAAGATATAGGGATTGTAAAATCAGAGTTTGTGGCAAAGACTCAATTCCTTTGTTTACATTTTGAGGGGAAAATCTAAAGAAAATTTTAAAGCTCCGCAAATATTTAAAACAATGCTGACTATGTTGGTATTAATAAAGTTGTCCAAATCTTTATTAGTAGTTTGGCAAGCAAACACTTACATCAATTTTCAAAAGGTTTTTAAAACCCTTAGTTAAAGAATAAAATGCTATTTACTTTAAGAAACTACCTAAATTAATTAAGCCAACTTAGTATCATTTATATAAAGAAGTAAGTGTAAAATCTAGGAATAAATTAAAACATGCAAAAATAAACTGAACCCATTTAGAAATCAATAAAGAAATTAAATGAAATCAAATGAAGAAATTAGAAATCAAAAAAGAAGAGAAAGAAAAAAAGAAACCAAAAAGGATAAACTGATAGCTTAACAAGAAGAAATTTAAATAATTAAGATAAACTTAACGAATTGACACACTGAAATGATTTAGCAATTATTGATTTGTTTTTAAGAATCACTAGAACTAGTTAAGAATAAACTGAACTAGTTAAGAATAAACTGAACTAATTAAGAATAAACTGAACTGATTAAGAATAAACTGAACTGATTAAGAATCACCAGAACTAATTAAGATTCAACTGAACTAATTAAAAATCCACTGAACTAATCAAGAATAAACTGAACTAATTAAGATAAAACTGAACTAATTAAGATTTAACTGAACTAATTAAAAATCCACTGAACTTATCAAGAATCAACTGCACTAATTGAGAATAAACTGAACTAATTAAAAATCAACGGAACTAATTAAGAATCATCTAAACTAAAATTAAAAATCAACTTAACTATTTAAGAATAAATTGACCTAATTTAAAATCAACTGAACTAATTAAGTATCAACTAAACTAATTAAAAATCAACTGAACTAATTAAGAATAAACTGAACTAATCAAAAATCAAAACATTAATCGAGAATCAACTAATTACTAATGAAGGAGTTGTATTTTAACGATGCCAGCAGCAGCAGATCTTGTTAACTTTAATTAAGTTTCAGCACCAACAGAACTAGAAAATTATAAAACGACAGAAAAATACGTCTCTAAACATTCAAAGTAGTAAATAGTAATTAATAATTCAGGCTTTAAATGCATTTTCTAGATTTAGCGTCTAACTCCATGTAATAGACTACTTATAGGACTTAGATAAATTCTAAAATCTAATAAAACAGAATCAAATTTAATTGACTTGTTTTGTAACGTTATCTATTCTACTTCTTGATTTTTACTAATTAAACTAATTTTCTTAAAACCAAAAGATATCCTTTGAATTTTATTCATAAGATGACAAAGGACAGAGGACGAAGGTTGAATCAGTTAATTGTTAATCCCAAAGTCCCAATTTTTTAAATTTCTAATTAAAAATATGTCCCCATTATCTGAAGTGATGATAAATTGAACAGGGGAAAAATCGCAAATTAAAACGATAAATGAATAATGATCGAAACAATAAATATTTTTACAGTTCTCCATGTGAGTTGTAAAATGATATAATTTTTTTAGTTATATAACTGTATTTAGCTGAAGATATTAAATATACTGCTTTGCCGTGCATTTTCGATTTCTTGAAGTTTTTTAAGCAAAAAAAAACATAAAAAAATGTTAATACAGCATTTAAAACATGCATTTATTTCTAAAATGCAATTTTTTCAGGAATAATAGAATTTATTTATACTTAAAGGAATTGAGTTCTTATCACAACCTCTGATTTTCTAATCCCTATAGAGCTAAGCAACCCCATTTTAGTTTGTGGCAAAGACTCAATTTCTTTGAATTGAAGTTTTTCGTTTTTCGTTTGCCAAAAATCTCGTTTTCGGAGTACGGCGATACAAGGTTGATTTTGAATATTTTCTTCAAATCCAATATTAATATTCAGTTTTTTTTACACATTTTCCCCCATAGAGTTCATTTTATCCTCGTAATTAAGTTATTTAACTTTTAAGTTCAATTATCTAACTTAATTCAGTTTCTCAAACTTAAATCCAGTTTCTAGAACAAGATTTCAGTTTCCTAGCTAGGTTTGGTTTTAAAATTTCATTTGGAAAGCATATATTTAGTTTTTTTTCGAACAATGTCTAGTTTTTCAAACTGAATTCAGTTTTTTTTTAACTGAAATTTAGTTTATCAAACATGAGTGAAGTTCTCCAACCAGGAATTCAGTTTTTTCAGACATGCATTGAGTTTTTCCTAACAAAAATTCAGTTCTCCATACATGCATTCAGTTTTTCCTTACATAAATTCAGTTCTCCAAACATGCATTCAGTTTTTCCTAACATAAGTTCAGTTTTCCAAACTTGAATTCAGTTTTTCCAATCATAAATTCAGCTTTTCACCCCCCCCGCCCAGTTGAAAAATAAATTAAGTCTATAGGACTCACTGAACTAGATAATGTGCTGGGATTACAACACATACAGATTATCTAATAAAAACCTTCCCATACCTAAATTCATCATAATTTTGTCCATTCAGATAATAAAATTTATATAATAATTAAACAAACTTGCTTTTTTACTTTATTTGAGTTTTAAAAATTTTTTTGTTTGTTACTAATTTCTATAAATATTATTGTGGATCACTAAAACTATAAAAAAGAACTCAAATATAATATTACCAATTTTTTTATACTGATTTTCCAGTTTTTGCTTACCTTGATGTGTAATTTAAGCATATGCTAAATATAGGATTATACACATATATCGTATATTAGAAATATAGATATATTTGATTCTCTCCGTCACAAAAATATATTAGGATGTTTTTATCCTTCTCACGGGATTAAAACCTAAACCCTTGATCACACAGGTTTTAAACAGCAAATATTTAACTATTTACAGGTTTCAGGAGATTTTTGGCTGCGGTCTTCTGCCCTTTTTCACTCCACTGAGAGAATTGAACTGAACTATAAACTAGCTAGTCCCCCAGCTGACCCGGACCGGGCTGGATCTTGACTGAGTCAGGCTCCGGACAGTCCCGGATTCTCAGCCCTCGGAGTCAAGATTTGGTTTGGCAAATTTTCTCGCTCTTGTTCGGATGAGTGCCTTGCCCTGCCTTTAAAAGACCGGATTTGGTTTGGCCTGTTGCTGTCTGCAGGGCGGGTCGGTACAAAAGCTACCTAAGGAACCGGGAAGTTTTGGGGCAAGAAGGAGGTTTAGGGAGTTTAAGGTTTTTCCGGTCGTCTTTATTTCGCGTAAGTATAATCAGATATTATTGTTACTGTTATATAATATATATAATGTTTGAAATATATTTTGTGTTCTTCTTTATTAAGAATATCTAAACAAAGTTAGAGTTCGGTACGATTTTTGATAAAGTTGTTTTGAAAGCAATTCATAAATCGAGTTTTTCTGACAATAAAATAATTGACAATTTGTGTATATTGTTTGTTAAAATTAAGATATTATTTCTATTTGTTATAAATATTTGTCAGTTATCTATGTTAAACAGTTTAAAATATAAAGATATCATGTATAATAGATGGAACAATGTTTAACTTATTGTCAATCATGTTTAAACACTTTATACATTCGGTCAATTAACAACAAAAACCCTTTCCTTATCATAACTAGTTATATGAGCAGGGCAAAGGCTATACTTTGATTTGACAGAATTTGTTCTAAAGGATTGATTCTTTGCCACAAACTCTGATTTTCTAGTCACTATATCTTCGCAACCAATTTTCGTAGAACTTAGATATTTCAAACTATGAATTCTGATCAAATAATATAAGTTTAAAATATCAAAGGTTTATACGCAATCAAGTTTCAAAGATATATGTATAGTATATTCGAGTTCAAAGATATATGTATAGTATATTCGAGTATATTCGAGTATATTCGAGTATATTCGAGTTTGTGGCAAAAACTCAATTCCTTTCTAAAGTTATTTATTTCTAAAGGAATTGAATTTTTGCCACAAACTCCATTTGTTTCATTGCCATTTCTTTGCAACCTGTTGGTGTAAACCTTTAATATTTAAAATCTAAATTATTTGATCACACAGAATTAAAATACCTAAGGTCCACGACATTGGGATAAAAAAGCATAGGGATAAAAAATTAGAGCTTGTGGCAAAGACTCAATTCCTTTGCATGCACTATACTATAAAATTGAACAAAAAATATGATCATTTTTTTCCTGAGGCCCGTACCCAGGGGGGTGCAAGAGGTCAGGTGCATCCCCCTCCTTTTTTAAATAAGTTGCTTGGTATAATCTTTTGAAAAATTGAGATATTAGCATTCATTTTTCGAAATTTGTTATAACTCTGTATTCTGTATAGTGTATAGGCTATGTCTAAACAATTCTTTACAAAAGCTGTTCCCTCAGATCAGAGATAAGACCAACCAAATAATCAAATTTAAATGCAAATATAACAAATATGTTTCAGTATGCATAAAAAATTCAATTCTTTAAATTTTTCAGAAACATTGCCTCAGTTTCAATATTTTGTCCAGGCAATTCAAAATCAATGAACTTGAGTAGCAATATCAAAATTATTAACATTTTCTGTCTTCCAATATTGTAAAATTTCCATTAAAAACTAAATTAAGAAAATTTTTTGTACCATATAAAACACCAAATTTAGAGAAAATCGAATTTTCACTGTAACATTAAGTTCAAGCTTAAATTACTAATGTTGTGTTGTTGGCAAAGGAATTGAGTCTTTGGAACAAAATCAAATATTTAAACCTCAATATCTTTAGAACTCGATGTTGTAAACCTTTGATATTTCAAACTCAGATTATTTAATCAAACAAAATTCATAGTTTGAAATATCTAAGGACTTCACCAATTGGGTCCAAAGATATAGTGATTAGAAAATCAGAGTTTGTGACAAAGACTCAATTCCTTTGAAAATTACCTAGATAACATAAAATTTAAGCTAAAATTACTCGTTTTAATAACATAATTATGAAAATTGTCTATGCAGGGGGGCTCTGCCCCCTTGCAACCCCCTGACTCGTTCACTACGTTTCACTCGGTGATCCGATCCATGGTCCCATACTATAACACCCCTCTTTGCACCCCCCCCCTTGGGCAAATCCTGGTAACGGGCCTGTTTTTCCTTCACCAAATATTGTTTAATTCACATTGAGAACTAAATCTGAAGTGTACATCCAAGAAAAATAAATGCAAGAGCAAAAATTGGCTTGGTTTGTAGGTTATTTAGCTCTATGCTGCATAAAGAAATATATACAAAAACCCCATTTAAATTTCTCCCCATGGTCAGATTTACAGATAGAGCCTTTAAAACATCTATAAATTATCTTACAATCATGATAAAATATATCTGTTAATTTGTTTATCAAATGCTCCTGCTGGGTTTCTTCTATTTTCTATAAAATCATCCCAGAATTGTGAAAATGATGACCTTTTCAGTCAAAAATTAGGAAAATTAATTTTTATTTTTGTCTCTCATTCAAAAACCCATGAAGATAATTGCTGATAGAAATGTTGAATTTGTTTATCATGAGTTTATATTTAATTCAAAAACGTTTTGAAAGTTAGCACTAAAGCTAACTGTGGGAGAAGATGAAATGTTCTTTTTCAACATATTTCTATTTGCGCATATTAAGCTATTTAAACTACAAATCAAGCCAATTTTTGCTTTTGTATTTATTTTCCTTAGATGTACATTTTAGATTTAGTTCTCAATGTGAATTAACCAATATTTGTTCAAGTAAAAACATAAAATGATCATATTTATTGTACAATTTGATAAATCTAAAAGACCTAATATTTGAGTTTAGTGCACTGCATGGAAATCTAAACTTCCTTTGTAAAATTCAACAAACTCAATTTAGAATTTTCAAACCAAACTAAGAACGTTTATATAATTCTACCCCATACTGAAAATTTGAGGAAAATCGGTCAAGGGGGTCGTGAGTTATGACTGGATATACAAACAAACAGACAAACGGAGATTACTTCTTTACAACTATATATTTATAAAGTTCATAGAAGAATTGTCGAGTTGTTAAATATAGATACAAGGAGAGGGACAAAATACATACAAAGACTTATTACATATTTGTCGGCCAAACCGTCGACACATGATCAGAGAGGAGGTGGCTCATCTTTCATCCGTTTGGAGACAGGAAGCTGTTTTCTGTTGAATATCATGCAGACTTTATATACCAAGGGAAACTAGTTTATTTATTAGTGTAATGTTTATCATATTTAGAATTCGGTGATGGTGATGAACCAAACCTCTGTAGAGTAAAAAGAAAGTAGATGTTCCACATTTATTGGGTTGACCTTCGTAAGTTTTAACGATAATAACCATCAAAATCGATAAAAAAATATTATAAAAATTGTTAAAAACCACATGAAAATAAACAAACAAAAAAGATTTAAAAACTAAAATTTGGCTGTCAAATGGACATAAGGGAAACGAACTCTGATCATGAGATGGAAAAAAGATGATTTGCGAATATTCACTTTAAAAAAAATGTTTTAAGACAATTATTATAGTTAGTTTATAATAGTTAATACAATGTATTACCACTATACAAAATCAAGATGTACACTCTCTCACACAAAAATCGAACAGTATTTTGCCAGAACTACTCCTTTTAAGCTTATAGAAACAAGTGTGCGTTTCATTTAAAAAACTTTATGTGCAAACAAAAAAACCAAAAGTAAGTTGTTGAGGTAAAACTAAAAGCCAAGGCGATGCGACACTTTAAAGTCGAGATTATCGAAAAATTTAATGACTATTTTTCAGAGTTATCTATATCTCAGTGTTACAGACTGACTGGAATAGGTCTAAACCTATCAAAAAATTGGGCGCTTATGCTTTTCATTCCAGAAGTATGGCGTCAACATCATCAAAAATAGAGAAGAGTTTATCAAATTTTCTACTTTTTCATTTAAATCGCATAAGCCGACAAAAAAGTAATATTGAGGAAAGACGAAAAATTAATATTTACTTCGTCAATTTGGGATCGAAAGTCACAGCTTCCATGAATTAGGATCGAATTGTTAAATCCGAGTGATATATTTACATTTTTTATACTTCTAAAAGGGAACCAAGTTTTTTTTATATTGTACACTGAGACCTATGTACAAAGCATCACTCATTTTTACTAAAAAAAAGCTCAAAGATCTCATATTTTTTTATTTCATTTTACATTAACTTTTAAATTGTGAATTTACTTCAATTCTTGTCTAAACCGTCTAAACCTTAGCAAAAGTATATCCCAGTTTATTTATCATATTTCAACAAAAAGTTTTCTCGAATCAAAATATTATGACGGACAATTTAAAGTTGAACTACGACGACATTTAGTCCCATCGCCTGAATTGTGTTTACAGTTTAAATCGGAGGTTTAAATATTTTACAGATCCTTTGGTGGACTGGGAAAATAGTTAGGGTCTAATATGATTGAATTGATTTGGTTTTTAATCTAACTCCATTTTATTTTGACCCTAGTCAGTATTCTGTTTTTAAAATTTAAGGAAAAATTTGGAAACCCAAAAATCGAGGTGAATGGAGAATGATTAAGGAAGTTAATAATAGTGAATTTTTTTCATGTTAAAGAAGGGTAGAGGTAGGAGAAAAGTGTAAAAAATGATGAATGAATTAAGGGGCGAGTGGAGGAGGGCAGAGGGGAGTGGGAAAAGGGGATTAAAGGGGGAGTGGAGGAGGGTAAAGGAGAGTGGAGAAAGGTTAACCCTACTGTGCTGGGGTACTTGAAAACCAGGATATGCTGGGGGGGGGGGGCAATTTGACCTCCCATGTTTGATGTCCAAATATGACAAACGATACATCATTAGAAAGCTCTTGTGGTCTACTTTTAGAATCTGCAAAAAAAATTGCGAATTTGCAAAAATTGAATTTATTTGTCCAAAAAATGAAAAATTATACATTTTTGAAAAGCCCTTGACCATGCCATTTTAAATTTGCAAAAATA